CTGCCAACATGGCAAAACCCAGTCTCTACTAAAAGTACAAAAATTAGCTGGATGTGCTGGTGTGAGCCTGTCATCCCAGCTACTTGGGTGGCTGAGGTGGGAGAATCATTTGAACCCGGGAAATAGAAGTGCCACTGCACTCTAGCCTGGGCAACACAGCAAGACTCTGTCTCAGAGATTTTTTTTTTTTTTTTTTTTGGAGACAGGGTCTTTGTCACCCAGGTTGCAGTGTAGTGGTGCCTCCCAGGTTGAAGTGATCTTCCTGCTTCAGCCTCCCATGTAGCTGGGTCTCCAGGCGTGCACCACCAAGCCTGGCTAATTTTTAGTAGAGGCCGGGTTTCGCCATTTCACTCACGCTGGTTTCAAACTTCTTGTGTCCTGGACTCAAGTGATCCTCTCTCCTCGACCTTCCAAAGTGCTAGGATTACAGGCGTGAGCCACTGTGCCCTGCCATTTTCATACATAAATCTTAAAAGTACTTCAAGATCTTTCCTATAGAAAAATACATGCATTGAAGTCTCAGTGGTTTTGGATATGCACATCTGCATCAAGTCAAAAAATAAGACTCCCCTTTCTGCAGTACTATTAGTGTTAAACACTACTTACTCTTTTTTTTTTTTTTTTTTTTTTTTTTTTAAAGGTGAGGGCTCGCTCTGTCACCCAAGCTAGAGTGCAGTGGTGCTGTCTTGGCTACCTCCTCCTCCCAGCCAGGTTCAAGCAATTCTCAGGCTTTAGCCTTCCGAGTAGCTGGGATTACAGGCATGTGCCACCTCGCCTGGCTAATTTTTGTCTTTTGCTTCTTTTTTTTTTGAAATGGAGTGTCACTCTGTCACCAAGGCTAGAGTGCAGTGGCATGATCTTGGCTCACTGCAACCTCCTCCTCCTAGGTTCAAGCGAGTCTCCTGCCTCAGCCTCCTGAGTAGCTGGGATTACAGGCACACGCTCCCTGCCTGGCTAATTTTTGTATTTTTAGTAGAGACAAGGTTTCACCATATTGATCAGGCTGGTCTTGAGCTCCTGACCTCATGACCAGCCCGCCTCTGCCTCCCAAAGTGCTGGGATTATAGGTGTGAGCCACTGTGCCTGGCCCATAATTTTTGTCTTTTTGAAAGAGATGGGGTTTCACGATATTGGCCAGGCTAATCTTGAACTCCTGCCCTGGGGTGATCCTCGCCCTCCCAAAGTGCTGGGATTATAGGCGGGGGCCACCATGCTCTGACTCTAATTTATTTTATAGCTTTTCACCCTTTAGTCTTGCTTTGGAAGACTTTCCCACCTTTTAAATGTTCTTTTTTTACATCTCTTGTGTATGTATGTGACATGTAAAATTTATATGATGGTCACACTTTAGTGTCCATAAATAGTCTTATTACCATACTACCACAGTTATTAGTTTGCATATTTTTGGGGCTGCTTACTAGATACAACAGGAGTAATTGTGACAGATTGTATGGCACATGAAGCTGAAAATGTTCACTATTTGGCCTTTTACAGAAAAAGTTGCTGAACTTGGAGTAAACAATGTATATTTTGGCAACATTATAATCTGTTTAATCTTAGACATTTTTATTCTTTTTCTGAAGTGACAGGGTGTCACTGTTGCCTGGAGTGCAGTGGCTCTCCACAGGTGTGATTCCATCACTGATCAGTTATAGTTTTGAACTGATACAGAGATCAGTTTGTGACCTAGGCCAGTTCACATCTCCTAAGGCAACTTAGTCTAATGGTCCCTTTTTTCCAGGAGGTTACCACTTATTTACTTATTTATTGAGACAGTTTCTCATTCTTTTAACCTGTCTGGGGAGCAGTGGCATGATAGTAGCTCACTGCACACTTGAACTCCTGGTCTCAGCCTCTCCAGTAAGTAGGACTACAGGTACATGCCACTGCACCCGGCTCTTTCTTTTTTAATTCATTCTTTTGTAAAGTTTATAAATAAATATTGTATATATTTATTATGTACAACATGAAGTTTTCAAATGTGTATACACTGTGTAATTGAAGTTACCATTCTTTTTTAAGTGATATCAGTGGAAACACTCTAATTCCTGTGTCTCAATTCCTGTGGTATATCTAATGAACTGTTCAAGGTTTTAAAAAATAAAACTTAATCTGCAGTCCCAGCTTCTGTAGAGGCTGAGGCAGGAGACTTGCTTGAGCCCAGGAGTTCAAAATCAGGTTTGGCAACATAGACAGACCCTGTCTCTTGGTACCAAAAAAAAACAGCGCGCACACACACAAACAGAAAAATTATAAATTAACCAGGCATGATTACAGGCTCCTGTAGGCCTAGCTACTTGGGAGACTGAAGTGCAAGGATAACTTGAGCCTGAGAGTTCCAGGCTATGGTGATCCTCAGTCGTGCCATTGCACTCCAGCCTGGACAACAGAGTTAGACTTTGTCTCAAAATAAATAAATAAATAAAAGAAAAAAGTAGATAAATAAAGATTAGAGGAGGGAATAGGGAGTGATTGTTTCAACAGGGTACGTATAGCATTACTCATTAGGGTTTTGAAAATGTTCTTGAATCAGACAATGGCTATCGTTGTACAACAATGCAAATAAACTAAAAACCACTGAATTATACACTTTTCTCTTTTTTTTCTTTTTTTTGAGATGGAGTTTTGCTCTTGTCTCCCAGGCTGGAGTGCAGTGATTGCAATCTCGGCTCACTACCTCCACCTCCTGGGTTCAAGTGATTTTCCCTACTCAGCCTCTGAGTAGCTAGGATTACAGGTACCTACCACCACACCCAGTTAATTTTTGTATTTTTAGTAGAGACAGAGTTTCACCATGTTAGCCAGGCTGGTCTTGACTCCTGACCTCAGGTGACCCGCCTGCCTTGGCCTCCCAAAGTGCTTGGGATTACAGGTGTGAGCCACTGGGCCTAGCTGAATTGTACACGTTTCAACTGTCAAGTGCTGGATTTCATATCATGTAAATTTATCTCAGTAAGAAGCATTAGTTTGGGTGCAGTGGCTCACGCCTGTAATCCCAGCACTTTGGGAGGTTAAGGTGGGCAGACCACTTGAATCCAGGAATTTTGAGACTAACCTGGGCAACATAGTGAAGCCCTGTCTCTGCAACAAATACAAAAATATTAGCCAGACATGGTGGTTTGTGCCTGTGGTCCCGCTCCTCTGGAGGCTGAGCTGGGAGAATCACTTAAGCCTGGGAATTTAAAGCTGCAGTGAACCATGATTATGGCACCGCACTCCAGCCTGGATGACAGAGTGAGACCCTGTCTCCAAAAAAAAAAAAGAAAAAGAGAAATTGGAGCTATACTCCTCTCCACTAAAGTGGAAAGTCAGAAAATCCTCATTATTAATGAGAATGTGGTATAATTGGAACTGTCATCGTCATTGGAGTGTATATTAATAATACCTTTAGATATTATCTGGCCTGTCTACTAAAGCTGAATATACACACAGGTGTAAGATACACACAGGTGCTGTCATTTATCAGTTTCACTCCACCCAATGTATATGTAACCATTAGAATGGTACAGCAACAAGTTATATACTTATGATTTGTATACATTTCTGTGTGTATATTCTATTTGAAAATGGTTTGTATCAAAGTAATAGGTATGGCTGGGCATGGGGGCTCATGCCTCCCAAGTAATCCCAGCACTTTGGGAGGCTGAGGTGGGTGGATCGGCTGAGGTGGGTGGATCGGCTGAGGCCAGGAGCTTGAGACCACTTTGGCCAACTTGGCGAAACCCCATCTGTACTAAAAATATAAAAATTGGCTGTGCGTGGTGACACGTGCCTGTGGTCCCAGCTACTCAGGACACTGAGGCAGGAGAATTGATTGAACCGGAAAGGTGGAGGTTGCAGTGAGCTGAGATTATGCCATTGCACTCCAGCCTGGGTGACAGAGCAAGACTCTGCCTGAAAAAAACATAAATCGATTTTTAAAATAAAAATAATTAAATAAATAGGGCCAGACACAGTGGCTCACGCCTATAATCCCAGCACTTTGGGAGGCCAAGGTGGGTGGATCACGAGATCAAGAGACTAAGACCATCGTTGTACAATGGTGAAACTCCATCTCTACTAAAAATACAAATAAATTAGCTGGGCATGATGGCACACACCTGTAGTCCCAGCTACTCGGGAGGCTGAGGCAGGAAAATTGCTTGAACCTGGGAGGCAGAGGTTGCAGTGAGCCGAGGTCACACCACTGCACTCCAGCCTGGCACCTGGTGACGGAGTGAGACTCTGTTTCAAAAAATAATAATAATAAAATAAAATAAAACTAATAAATAAAATAGATCCTGCCTAATGAACACTACAAAATTAGTTTAAATTTTTACTTGGAGGCCAAGGTAAGTGAATTGCTAGAGCCTATGAGTTAGAGACCAGCTTGGGCAATATTGTAAGACCCTGTCTCTACAAACAAATTATTTATTTTATTTTTTTTAAGCTAAAAATATTATTTGGGGAAAAAAATGAACATACCAAAATATTAGTAGGTATGAGATTTTGATAGTTCTGTGGGTTTTGTTTTTGAGACAGAGTCTCACTCTGTTGCCCAGGCTGGAGAGCAGTATTGTGATCTCAGCTCACTGCAACCTCTACATCCCTGGTTCAAGGGATTCTTCTGCCTCAGCCTCCCGAGTAGCTGGGACCACAGGTGTGCATCACCATGCCTGACTAATTTTTTTTTTTTTTTGTATTTTTGATAGAGACTGGGTTTCACCATTTTGCCCAGGCTGGTCTCGAACTCCTTGGCTCAAGCCATCCTCCCGTCTTGGCCTCCCAAAATGCAGGGATTACAGGTGTGAGCCACCACATCCAGCCTAGTTCTCTTTTCTTTTTTGCATATTATGCCCTTTTGTTATTTTATGACTTTACTGAATGTGTAAAAAGCGAAAATAATATTTTGGGTTATATCCACAAGGGCTTTACATTTAGTTGCTATTAAATTTTAATCTTCTTATGGCTGTTATTCAGATATTTAAGTACATGACATGAGTAATTTCTATATTTTGCAGGCAGATTTTGTTAACAAACCAGTAAATGGCCCCAAGTCAGAATCCATGGACTACAGTAAATATGGTCATGGGGAAGAACAAAAATCAGAATTGAACCCACATCCTATTGAAAATGTAACTAAAAATGAAGAAAACATGACAGGCATCGAGGTGGAGAAGTGGACACAAAACAAGAAATCACATTTAACTGATTACGTCAAAGATTTCAGTGCCAATGTCCCAGAACCTGAAAAATCGAACAACTCTGAAGTTGACAAGAAACGAATCAAACCTCCAAAATTGTTTGTACAAACCATAAGAAATGGCATTAAACATGTGCACTATTTACCCACTGAACCAAATGTGTCATTTAAAAAATTCAATATTGAAGCATTCAGCAAGACATTAGAAAACAATTCATGTAAATTCCTAAAAGACACGGCAAACCATAACAACGCTATGAGCTCCGTTGCTACTGATAGGAGCTGTGATCATCTCAAGGGGAGAAGTAATGTTTTAGTATTCCAGCAGCCTGGCTTTAACTGCAATTCCATTCCACATTCTTCACACTCCAACATAAATCATCATGCCAGCATACACAATGAAGATGATCAACCAAAAACTCCTGAGAATATACAAAGTAAAGAACCAAAAGATGGATCTCCAGTTCAACCAAGTCTCTTGTCGTTAATGAAAGATAGGAGATTAACATTGGAGCAAGTGGTAGCCATAGAGGCCCTGACTCAACTCTCAGAAGCCCCATCGGAGAATTCCTCCCCATCAAAGTCAGAGAAGGAGGAAGAATCAGAGCAGAGAACAGCCAGTTTGCTTCATAGCTGCAAAGCTATTCTCTACTCTGTAAGAAAAGATGTTCAGGATCCAAACTTACAAGGAGAGTCACCAAATCTTCATCACAGTCCATCTTTGGGAAAACAAAGTTCATCCAGCACGGTGGTTTTCAATGGGCAAACTACTACACTTTCCAGCTCACATATCAGTTCAGCTACTAACCCAGCATCCACAAAGTCACCTGAATATTCAAAAGTCACAAATTCATTATCTCTTTTTGTACCAAAATCAAATTCATCCAAGACTGACACCAATAAAAGTATTACTCAAGGGATAATTGCTCTTGACAATTGTTCCAATAATTTGCCTCAGTTGCCACCAAGAAATAATGAAGTGGGGTATTGTAACCAGTTACTGGACAGCAGCAAAAATTTGGACTCAGATGATCTATCCTGTCAGGATGCAGCCCACACCCAAATTGAGGAAGATGTTGCAACACAGTTGACACAACTGGCTTCAATAATTAAATTCAATTATATAAAACCAGAGGACAAGAAAGTTGAAAGTACACCCACAAGCCTTGTTGCATGTAATATACAGCAAAAATACAACCAAGAGAAGGGCACAATACAACAGAAACCACCTTCAAGTGTGCAAAATAATCATGGTGCATCATTAACAAAGCAAAAGAACACAACCCAGAAAAAGACAAAGTCCACCCCATCAAGAGATCGGCGGAAAAAGAAGCCCACAGTTGTAAGTTATCAAGAAAATGATCCACAGCAGTGGGAAACATTGTCCTATGCGTATAGCACAGTATGTGACATTTGGATTGCATCGAAATTTCAAAAATTTGGGCAATTTTGTTCACATGATTTTCCTACTGTATTTGGGAAAATTTCTTCCTCAGCCAAAATATGGAAACCACTGGCTCAAACAAGGTCCATTATACAACCCAAAACAATATTTCCTCCACTCACTCAGATAAAATTACAGAGATATCCTGAAGCAGTAGAGGAAAAGATGAAGGTTGAACCATTGGATTCACTCAGCTTGTTTCATCTTAAAAGGGAATCCAACGGGAAGGCATTCACTGATAAAGCTTATAGCTCTCAGGTACAGTTAACAGCGAATGCCAATCAGAAAGCCCATCCTTTGACCCAGCCCTCCTCTCCACCTCACCAGTATGCTAATGTGACGGCTGGCGATGACCAAATACGATTTCAACAGGTTGTTAAGGAGCAACTCATGCATCAGAGACTGCTAACATTGCCTGGTATCTCTCATGAAACACCCTTACCGGAGTCAGCACTATCTCTCAGGAATGTAAATGTAGTGTGTTCAGGTGGAATGACCGTGGTTTCTACCAAAAGTGAAGAGGAAGTCTCTTCATCCAGTGTTGGAACGTCAGAGTTTTCCACGGTGGACAGTGCACAGAAAAATTTCAGTGATTATGCTATGAACTTCTTTACTAATCCTACAAAAAACCTAGTGTCCATAACTAAAGATTCTGAACTGCCCACCTGCAACTGCATTGGTGAGTAATTGTGTGGATGTGTTTTTATTTCACCTACACAAATTACCTCAGTCATGACTGAGGCAAATTCTGATACATATTTTTGTGTGATATTTTTCCCCATTCTTATTCTAAGATGGATTAAGTAAATCTATAACCATTTTTCTGTGGGACATTTTGGTTCTGCTCACAAGAATGGAAAACTCAACTCATAATTTGGAAAAACAAAGATAAACCTCAAAATATGCAGATTTCTCTCAAAGTTGAATGTCTGTCAATTTATTGTGCATAGCATAAGAATGAATTTCCTAGGCCAGGTGTGTTGGCTCTTGCCTGTAATCCCAACACTTTGGGAGGCCAAGTCAGATGAGTCACTCGAGGTCAAGAGTTCCATACCAGCCTGGCCAATATGGTGAAACCCCATATCTACTTAAAATTAAAAAATTGGAGGCCAGGTGCAGTGGCTCATGCCTCTAATCCCAGCACTTTGGGAGGCCGAGGTGGACAGATCACAAGGTCAGGAGATCGAAACCATCCTCGCCAACATGGTGAAACTTCGTCTCTACTAAAAAATACAATAATAAGCTGGGCATGGTGGCATGTGCCTGTAGTCCTAGCTACTCTGGAGGCTAAGGAAGGAGAATCACTTGAGCCCGGGAGGTGAAGGTTGCAGTGAGCCGAGATTGAGCCCACTGCACTCCAGCCTGGTGATAGAGCGAGACTCTGTCTCAAAAAAAAAAAAAAAAAAATTGTCCGGGCATGGTGGCTCATGCCTGTAATCCTAGTACTTTGGGAGGCCCGAGGTGGTGGATCACCTGAGGTCAGGAGTTTAAGACCAGCCTGGGGCTGGGCGCTGTGGCTCACGCCTGTAATCCCAGCACTTTGGGACGCCAAGGCTGGCGGATCACGAGGTCAAGAGATCGAGACTATCCTGGCCAACATAATGAAACCCCGTCTCTACTAAAATATAAAAAATTAGCTGGGCGTGGTGGTGTGAGTCTGTAGTCCCAGCTGCTTGGGAGGCTGAGGCAGGAGAATTGCTTGAACCTGGGAGGCGGAGGTTGCAGTGAGTGGAGATTGCGCCACGGCACTCCAGCCTGGCGCCTGGCAACAGAACGAGACTCTGTCTCCAAAAAAAAGACCAGCCTTGCCATCATGGTGAAACCCCATCTTTAAAAAAAAAAAAAAATTGGGCCAGGCGCGGTGGCTCACGCCTGTAATCCCAGCACTTTGGGAGGCCGAGGCAGGTGGATCACGAGGTCAAGAGATCGAGACCATCCTAGTCAACATGGTGAAACCCCGTCTCTACTAAAAATACAAAAAATTAGCTGGGCATGGTGGCGCATGCCTGTAGTCCCAGCTACTCGGGAGGCTGAGGCAGGAGAATTGCCTGAACCCAGGAGGCGGAGGTTGTGGTGAGCCAAGATTGTGTCATTGCACTCCAGCCTAAGTAACAAGAGCAAAACTCCGTCTCAAAAAAAAAAAAAAAATTTAATTGGGCTTGGTGATACACACCTATAATCCCAGCTACTCAGATGGCTGAGGCAGGAGAATTGCTTGAACCTGGAAGGTGGAGGTTACAGTGAGCTGAGATTATACCACTGCCCTCCAGATTGGGCAACAGAGCAAGACCCTATCTCAAAAAAAAAAAATCACTTCAATAGTTTATTACAGTTTGTTTATTCTTCCTATGTTAAAAAAATGTCAACCTACAATCCGTGCATTATATTTTTGTGTGTGTGAGATAGAAGATACATATGGAGAATGTAAAACATATGTACAACTTAACAGTTATAAAATATTTCTGTGGCAGTTGCTGTCCTACTCTAGAACTGAAGCTGATTTATGTCTTTTTCAGTATCCAGTGCTTTTGTGTTCTATCCATTACTGTCTTTGTCCAAAGAGCAGTCGATATTCTAAAAAAATATCTTTCCATTTCTCTGCAATACAAAATATATCTATGTATAAAGAAATTCCATAATCTTGGCCACTTGAAGAATTCATAAACCTTTTTGAGTTTTAACTTTTTTTTTTTTTTTTTTTTGAGATGGAGTCTCACTCTGTCACCAGGCTGGAGTGCGGTGGTGTGATCTTGGCTCACTGCAACCTCTGTCTCCCAGTTCAAATCACTCTCCTGCCTCAGTTTCTTGAGTAGCTGGGATTATGGGCATGTGCCACCATGCCCAACTAATTTTTGTATTTTTATTAGAGGCAGGGTTTCACCATGTTGGCGAGGATGGTCTTGAACTCCTGAACTCAGGTGATCCACCCACCTCAGCCTCCCAAAGTGCTGGGATTACAGGTGTGAGCCACCGCGCCCAGCTGCGTTTCAGCATTTTTAACAAATTTGTTTGATAAATACTGATTTCGTATTTCAAAAAATCAAAGACTAACCAGTGGGCTAACATGAGTCATGTGCTAATACCTGACTCATGGACTGATCCCTAATCATTGTATTTATACATTTTTGTGCCTTAGGAGTCATTGAAAGAGAAAATTCTGAAATATTTAGTTTTATTTATTTTAAAAGCCCTGAGCAAATCTTACTGGGAAAGATTCTTGGGTTGATCTTAGGAGAAATTTTCTCTGTTTGAAACATGTGAAAGCTTAATTTGAATGCTGTACTGATTAGTTACTGTTTATGGTCAAATATCAGGTAAGCACTCTTCTAAAAAACCTGTCACCTCTAATATAGCTGTAAAAAAAAATAGGGAAATTAAATAGATTGTGTCATTAAGATTCATTAGGCTGCTTGAAACCCCATTATTTTGTCTATCATTATACAAGCATGATAGAATAAATTTTGTAAAAAAAAATCTGTTTTGAACGTCATCCAAATAGGTTTAGTTATTGAAAGTCTTGTTTAAAATATGACTCCAAATCATAAAGATTCAATATTTGCCTTCATAATTCTTTGTTATACTGATGCACAGAGATATTTTTAATGGAAGTAGGTGGTTCAATATTACATTCCAGGATGAATTGTTAGGAAGAATAAGTATATCATGCCGACAGAAAAAATAGTGTAGTGTGGCTGGGCGCAGTGGCTCATGCCTGTAATCCCAGCACTTTGGGAGGCCGAGGCGGGTGGATCACCTGAGGTCAGGAGATCGAAACCAGCCTGGCCAACATGGTGAAATGCCGTCTCTACTAAAAATACAAAAAGTAGCCAGGCGCGATGGTGGGCGCCTATAATCCCAGTTGTTCAGGAGGCTGAGGCAGGAGAATGGCTTGAACCTGGGAGATGGAGGCTGCAGTGAGCCAAGATTATGTCACTGCACTCCAGCTTGGACGACAGAGTGACACTCTGTCTCAAAAAAAAAAAAAAGAAAAAATAGTGTATTGTAGTGATAATATTTTATTCTTGTTTTTCCAAAGTATACTTCTTGTTTGTAAATAATATCCTTCCATTTTTCTGCTCATCATTCAATACTCAGTGTTTTTTAGGTTTTGGTTTATTTTGTTTGTTTGTAGATATGGGGTCTCACTTTGTTACCCAGACTAGTCTCGAACTCTTGGTCTCAATGATCCTTGCGCCTTGGCTTCCTCATGTGCTGGGATTACAGGCGTGAGCCACCACCCCAGCTAACACAGTTTTGACAAACTACGATGTGCCAGTCATCAAGGATAGGCTCCTGTGAGAAGAATCTCACAGTTTGGAAAGAGTGACAATGTTGGCTGAGTGGAGTTGAATTGGGAGAATAAGATTCTTGAATTAAAGAGAGAAGGATGTAATCCTGATACAGGCTTTCATTCTGGAATTCTTACTACAAGTTTGATACTGTGCCTTACCCTTGACTTGTTATATTCACAGCAGCTCTTCAGAGTGGGGGCTTATTATCCCCGTTATGCAAATGCAGAAGCTGAAGCACAGAGAAACAAAAAGTGACCTACCCAGTCATTTTTACCAAATCATCCCAAGTAGTACTATCATACTGGAGGGCAAAGAATTTCCATGGCAGAATTACGTTCTAGCAAAATAGAGTAATTCATCACTAGATTAGGATTCTTCAAACTGAGCACTACTGGCATTTTATCCATCATAATTCTTTGTTGTGAGGAGCTGTCTTGAGCATTATGGGATGTTTAGCAGCACCCCTAACCTCTCTCCACTAGATGCCAGTAGTAGTGCACACACATAACTGCTAAATTGTCACACCAAAAATGTCTCCGGGTATTTCCAAGAGTATCCTTAGCAGCAACATTCCCTGGGTTCAAAATCACTGCTGTAGATCATCAAGAATAAGATAAAATCTATCAAGTGTATATTTCTTAAGAAGCCACTGAAGTAGGCCGGGCATGGCGACTCACACCTGTAATCCCAGCACTTTTGGGAGGCTGAGGCAGGCGGATCACTTGAGCTCAGGAGTTCCTGACCAGCCTGGCCAACATGGTGAAACCCTGTATCTACTAAAAGTACAAAATTAGCCAACGTGGTGGCACATGCCTGTAATCCCAGCTACTTGGGAGGCTAACAAAGGAGAATCACTTGAACCCTGGAGGCGAATGTTTCAGTGAGTCAAGGTGGTGTCACTGCTTTCCAGCCTGAACAGCAAGAGCAAAACTCTGTCTCAAAAAAAAAATTAAAAAGAAGCTACAGAAGTAATTCTGCTAGTATTTGACATCTAATCAAAATGACTTTTTGGTGTAGGTATACCATGGCTAGAAATTTATGAAATGCAGAAATTCCCCGGTAATTCTTGTTACACATGAGTCTAAGGGTCCAAGTTAAAAATAGCATTTTTAGGCTGGGCGCGGTGGCCAAGGACTGTAATCCTTGTACTTTGGGAGGCCGAGGTGGGTGGATCACAAGGTCAGGCGTTCAAGACCAACCTGGCCAACCTAGCAAAACCCCATCTGTACTAAAAATACTAAAAAATTAATTAGTACATTCCCTTCACTGTGTTTTATATTCAGGTAAGGTCAAAAAGAAACGGAACAAGGATAGAAATAGTGTACAGCGGTAAAAATTAGCTGAGCCTGGTGGCGTGTGCCTGTAATCCCAGCTACTCAGGAGGCTGAGGCAGGAGAATTGCTTGAACCCGGACTCAGGAGGCGGAGGTTGCAGGGAGCTGAGATCGTGCCACTTCACTCCAACCTGGGCTACAGAGCAAGACTCCGTCTCAGGAAAAAAAAAAAAAGGGCATTTTTAAAGAAACACAAAATTAAATCCTCACAAAAATTCAACTGGTGCAGAAATATGACACAAACATCTTCCCATACTCTCATTCTCTGAAGATAAAACTTTTGTTACAGTTTTCTAAAAGATTATTGATTTTAGTTTTGTTTCCATTTTTTACAAAAATTTAAAATAATTTTTCAACTTGGTTTTTAAATGTAATTGTTGATTTTTAAATGTTTTATAAATGCTTTCAGTAGATTTATTGTATTCCACTATATAAACATCCCATGATTTATTTAAACTACATGTTGACAGATGTTAAGAGTGTTTTGCTCTCTTTTTGATAACTGTATAATAGGATAAATTGTCTGCAATGAAATTGCTCTGTTCAATTTTAATAGAATTCTGAGGCCAACCTTTAAGATTTATTGCTCTTGGATAACTTTTAACATTATACCTCAATTAATAGTTTTTTTTTAAGCAGGAGATAGGAGTATAAATATGACCCACATCTTAAAATAGTTTTTTTCTCCTCTGATTTTCAGAGGAAGAAAGAATTCGTTAGGGGCAGGAAGAAAGGAGCATTAAAAGCTAAATTCCATGGCCTGTTGTCCTTGACATTAATTATCAAAGCTTACCAAAACCTTAAGATTCATGGTTCTGAATTGAGGGGGAACAAAAAATATAATAATAGCTTCTCCTGTCCCCTATGCAATTCTGTAAAGCTTTGGGTCTAATAATCTTATTCCTTCCACAGATCGAGTAATACAAAAAGACAAAGGCCCATATTATACACACCTTGGGGCAGGACCAAGTGTTGCTGCTGTCAGGGAAATCATGGAGAATAGGTGAGGAAATATGCTTCCCTGTTAAAGTCATTCTTACTGTGGATCTGACTCAATGCAGATAAATAATCTGTGGGAACAAATGACGTGATTGAAAAATGTTCAGGAGTATGAGCTTAATGTTTCTTAGGGCCCAATAAAGGAGGGCCTGGTGTCCTGGTGTCCCTCCTGAGTCGCCCATCATACAAGGTGTTGGGCATATAAAAGAGCACCCACAAAGCAAGGCTAATTGTCTTTGATAAACTCAGAAGTACTTTTATATTATTGGATAATGGTAGAAATAGGTCAAATTACCACCCTTGACGCTGCATACACTACATCCCCATTGCTTGTCTTGCAGTCAGCCTGTTTTTAAAGAGTGATCTTTAAGGATAAGTGAGTAGGACTGGATAACAAATTAAAATACCTGCCACACAAAAGCAAATGTTTAACAAAAGTAAATCATGAGGAGTGTTTGATTTTTAAACTTCTGTACATCTAGATCTTAAACACATTAACATGTTCAAAGCTGAAGCCTTCAAATACATATTGTAATTAATTAGTACATTCCCTTCACTGTGTTTTATACTCAGGTATGGTGAAAAAGGAAATGCAATAAGGATAGAAATAGTCGTGTACACCGGCAAAGAAGGGAAAAGCTCTCATGGGTGTCCAATTGCTAAGTGGGTAAGTGTTTCCTATTTATAGATTGTTTTGAATGAAGCTTGTTATCCAGAGCTGATTTTTATACATTTTCAATAGCCAGAGTGACCTTTATTTTACTTATTTGTTTATTTTATTAGTGTGTGTGTGTGTGTGTGTGTGTGTGTGTGTGTGTGCGGCCTCTACTAAAAATGCAAAAATTAGCCAGGGGTGGTGACTGGTGCCTGTAGTCCCAGCCACTAGGCAGGCTGAGGCAGAAGAATTGCTTTAACACAGGAGGCGAAGGTTGCAGGGAGCTGTGATCATGCCACTGCATGACAAAGGTGAGCCTGGCAACAAAGTGAGACTTTGTCTCAAAAAAAAGATAGCAGTGTGGGTTATCAGGAAGGGAACATTTGAGCTGAGAAAGGAGTGACAAAAAGGAACTAAGTATGCAGAGGATAAGTAGGGAGTAGAATTCCTAAGCAGAGAAAACAGCAAGAAAAAAGGTCTTGGGTTAAGAAAGCAGAATTATTTGAAATTAAGAAGATAGTTAATTGAACCAGGTGGGGGGTAAAAAGGTGAATGATTTTGTAGGCCATAGTGAGGAGCTGTGGTTTTAGCCCAGTAGTAACATGAAAGCTTTGAAGTATTTTAGACAGAGATGTGTTATCTGGTTTATGTTTTATAAATAGTATTTAAGGAACTAATTAATAAGACCTGTATTTGTTGTCTGTTCAGCATCTTTGAATAACAAACAGGTATTATCTCCTGCAGTTTCAGTGAGTTAGGAATCCAAGCAGTGCATAGGCTCCTATGAGGATGCAATCATCTGAAAACTTGACAGGGGAAGAGTGGTGCAGCTGGAGGGCCCACTTCCAAGCTCACTTGCAGGAGGCCTTCGTTTCAGGCTGTTGGCTGGAGGCCTTAGTTCTTTCTCATCTTAAATGTCTTCATAACACAGCAGCTTGGTTTCCCCCAGAGTCAGTGAATGAAAAGAGAGCAAGGAGGAAGCTACAGTCTTTTATCACCTCCAGAGGTTGAGGCCTGTAGTTCAAGGTCACAGTGCACTATGATGGCTCCTGTGAATCCATAGCCAGCCACTGCACTCCAGCCTGAGCAACACAGCAAGACCCCACCCACATCCCTTAAAAAAAAATAAAATAAACTAGATTCTCTTATAACTCTCCCATGCTGGCTTTGTGGTAATAATTTTCTTGCTCTCCACCTTTCTCCTGCCATTATAGATTTCTCAAACAGTATAGTTTTATTTTGTTTTGTTCTTTTGTGTCTGGCCTATATATACTACCTTGTACATTTGATGAAATAAAGCCCACAGTTGGTTCCCAATATCCGGCACTAATGGTTGTTACGGATTTATTGAACTCTATCTGTTAACTATTTCTGAATTGTTTATTAAGTAGCAAGAAATGAGTATGTCCTCATGATGAAGCAGCTGGCTTCCCTTACAGAGAGTATTCAAAAGAGAGCAAGGTAACTAGGCTTATTGGTGGTATTGGAAATGATTTCTTTTTCCTGTCTTCAAAACCTTTTCTAATATAATATTAATGACAGTGATACAAAGAATTGTAGTATATAATTCTTTTTTTTTTTTTTTTTCTTAATGCAAATAGCCAGGCGTGGTGGGTCACACCTGTAATCCAAGCACTTTGGAGGCCAAGGCAGGCGGATCACCTGAGGTCAGGAGTTCAAGACTAGCCTGACCAACATGGTGAAACCCCATCTTAAAAAGAGAAAGAAAATATTTTTAAAAAGAAAAAAAGGCTGGGCGCGGTGGCTCATGCCTGTAATCCCAGCACTTTGGGAGGCCAAGGCGGGTGGATCAAGAGGTCGAGAGATCGAGACCATCCTGGTCAACATGGTGAAACCCCATCTCTACTAAAAATACAAAAATTAGCTGGGCCTGGTGGCACGTGCCTGTAATCCCAGCTACTTGGGAGGGTGAGGCAGGAGAATTGCTTGAACCCAGAAGGCGGAGGTTGCGGTGAGCCGAGATCGTGCCATTGCACTCTGGTCTGGGTAACAACAGCGAAACTCCATCTAAAAAAAAAAAAAAAGAAGGCAAATATAGGCCAGGTGCAGTGGGTCACGCCTGTAATCTTAGCACTTTGGGAGGTTGAGGCACGCAGATCACCTGAGGCTGGGAGTTCAAGACTCTTCTGGCTAACATGATGAAACAACCCCATCTCTACTAAAAATACAAAATTAGACTGGGGTGGTGGCACATGCCTGCAATCCCAGCTACTCGGGAACCTGGGCAACAAAAGCGAAACTCCATCTCAAAAAAAAAAGGCAAATATAAACCCTGCATTTTAAATATTTTGCTAGCAACTTTCTGTTTCGTATTTTTCCCTAGTGAAATTTTATTTGTTTGTTTTAGAGATGAGTCTGTGTGTGTTGCCCAGGTTAGAGGGTACTAACACAGGAGTCCCTAACCCCTGGGCCATGGACTAGTAGGAACCTGACCTCACAGCAGGAGGTGAGCAGCAGGTGAGCAAGTGAAGCTTCATCTCTATTTATAGCCACTGCCCATTGCTAGCATTACCACCTGAGCTCTGCCTCCTGTAAGATCAGCAGTGGCATTAGATTCTAATAGGATTGTAAACCCTTTTGTGAACTGTACATGTGAGGTTGTGCTCTCCTGAATCTGATGCTTGATGATCTGTCACTGTCTCCCATCACCCCCAATGGGACCACCTAATTGTAAGAAAACAAGCTCAGGGCTCCTGCTGATTCTACATTATGGTGAGTTGTATAAATACTTTATTCTATATTATAATGTAATAATAATAGAAATAAGTGCATAATAAGTGTAACACACTCGAGTCATCCCAAAACCTCTCCCCAGCCCCATGTTCATGAAAAAATTGTCTTCCATGAAATGGGCCCCTGCTGCTGCAAAGGTTGGGGACCACTGCATTAACACATAGTTCACTGCAGTCTTGAGCCCCCAGGCTCAGGTGATCCACCCACCTTAGCCTGGCAATTAGCAAGGGCTACGTGGGCACGCCACCATGCCTAGTTCATTTTTTCTTCTTTTTTGTAGAGTCGATGTTTTGCTATGTTGCCCAAGCTTGTCTTGAACTCAAGCCTCTGCCTGTCCCAGTCTCCCAAAGTCCTGGGATTACAGGTGTGAGCCACCAGCCCCAGCAGCAACATTCTATTTAAATATTTGGGTTATTAGGTACAGGAGGTATTTGGAATTTTTCATGAAGCAGGTATATTTGAATTGCTATCTTATTTTCTCTTGTGCAATATGTCTTTTCAGAATGAGAAGAATACCTTTGTATATACTAATGTATATCTGGCTCTTTTCACAAATGCAAAAATAATCCAATGATAAGAAATGAAATAAAGCACTGCTGTTCAGCAACATAATGAAAATTTTGCTATCTACTAATGACGATTCAAAAGTGTAATCTTGATAACAAAACCATGTAATACTATTGCATTTTTTTTTTTTTTTGAGACTGGGTTTCACTCTTGTTGCCTAGTCTAGAGTGTAATGGCATGATCTCGGCTTACCACAACCTATACCTACGGGGTTCAAGCAATTCTCCCGCCTCAGCCTCCTGAGTAGCGAGGATTACAGTATTACAGGCATGTGCCACCACACGTGGCTAATTTTGCATTTTTAGTAGAGACGGGGTTTCTCCATGTTGCTCAGGCTGGTCTTGAACTTCCAGCCTCAGGTGATCTGTCTGCCTCGGCCTCCCACAAAGTGCTGGGATTACAGATGTGAGCCACCTCTCCTGGCCATACTATTGCATTTGTATGAAAATAAAATAGGTTTCTTTCTTTTTTCCTAATTCCACTTAGGTTTTGGGGTACATGTGAAGAACATGCAAGATTGTTGCATAGGTACACACATGGCAGCATGATTTGCTGCCTTCCTGCCCTTCACCTATATCTGGTATTTCTCCCCATGCTATCTCTCCCCAACTCCCCACCCCCCGCTGTCTCTCCCCTGTTTCCCCCCAAGAGACCCCCGTGTGTGATGCTCCCCTCCCTGTGTCCATGTGTTCTCATTGTTCAACACCCACCTATGAGTGAGAACATGCGGTGTTTGATTTTCTGTTCTTGTGTCAGTTTGCTGAGATGATGGTTTCCAGGTTCATCCATGTCCCTACAAAGGACATGAACTCATCGTTTTTGATGGCTGCATATTATTCAATGGTGTATATGTGCCACATTTTCCCTGTCCAGTCTATCCTTGATGGACATTGGGTTGGTTCCAGGTCTTTGCTATTGTAAACAATGCTGCAATGAACATTCGTGTGCATGTGTCATTATAGTAAAATGATTTATAATCCTTTGGATATATACCCAGTAATGGGATTGCTGTGTCAAATGGAATTTCTATTTCTAGGTCCTTGAGGAATGGCCACACTGTCTTCCACAGTGGTTGAACTAATTTACACTCCCACTAACAGTGTAAAAGTATTCCTATTTCTCCACATCCTCTCCAGCATCTGTTGTCTACAGATTTTTTAATGATTGCCATTCTAACTGGCGTGAGATGGTATCTCAATGTAGTTTTGATTTGCATTTCTGTAAGACCAGTAATGATGAGCATTTTTTTTTATGTTTGTTGGCCTCATGTATGTCTTCTTTTGTAAGAAAGAAGATATGTCTTCTGTTCATATCCTTCACCCACTTTTGAATGGGCTTGTTTATTTTTTCTTGTAAATCTGTTTTAGTTCTTTGTAAATTCTGTATATCAGCCCTTTATCAGATGGGTAAACTTCAAAATTTTTTTCCCATTCTGTTGGTTGCCAATTCACTCTAATGACTGTTTCTTTTGACACGCAGAAGCTATGGAGTTTGATTAGGTCCCATTTGTCTATTTTGGCTTTTGTTGCCAATGCGTTTGGTGTTTTGGTCATGAAGTCCTTGCCTACGTCTACGACCTGAATGGTTTTGCCTAGATTTTCTTCTAGGGTTTTTATGGTGTTAGGTCTTATGTTTAAGTCTTTAATCCATCTGGAGTTAATTTTAGTGTAAGGTGTCAGGAAGCGGTCCAG